AGGTCTCGAACCCGTGGGCTCAGGCAATCCACTCACCTCGGCCTCCCAAAGTGCGAGATTGCAGGCTGAGCCACCGAGCCCGGCCTTGTCACCTCTTAGAATTGTGTTCCTGGCTGGATGCAAGCACTCATCACTTGAGTTTAACTGTTTTTGAGGCCATCTCCCTAATATAGTGTCTTATTCACCTTTGTTGTGATCATGGCCTGCACCTAATAGATGATCCACAGATGTTTGCAGACAGCATGAGTAAAGCACTAATCATCTTTGTTCAGTCTCTTAATTATCATTGTTATTATTATTTGAGTCAAAGTTTCACTGTTGCCCAGGCTGAAATGCAGTGGCACGCTCGTGGCCACTGCAACCTCGACCTGCTGGGCTCAGGCGATCCTCCCATCTCAGTCTTCCGAGTAGCTAGAACCATAGATGCATGCCACCACGCCCAGATAATTTTTTTTGATTTGTAGAGATGAGGCCTCAAAGTTGTCTAGGCAGGTCTTGAACCCCTGGGCTCAGGCAATCCTCTCACCTTTGCCTCCCCATGTACTGGGATTACAGGTGTGAGCCACTGCAACAGGCCTCAGTCTTTTGGTTCTTTTTTTTTAATTATTATTTATTGTAGAGATGAGGTCTCACCAAGTTGCCCAGGCTGGTCTCAAACCTGTGGGCTCAAGCAGTCCTCTCACCTCAGCCTCCCAAAGTGCTGGAATTATAGGTGTGAGCCACCATGCTGGCCTCTCTTGATTCTTGAGTAGACTTGCTACTTCCTGGTTTAGGATGTTTGTGTCTGTACTCGTCTGTCACGTGTGTGTGCACAGACACATTCAGATGTGGTAACAAGGAATTCACCTTAACATGTGCATAGAAAATATCTGGTAGCCGGGTGTAGTGGCTCATGCCTGTAATCCCAGCACTTTGGGAGGCCTAGATGGGAGGATTGCTTAAACCTAGGAATTTCAGACCAGCCTGGACAACATAGCGAGACCTCGGCTCTACAAAAAAATTAAAAAATTAGCCAGGTGTGGTGGCACCTGCCTATAGTCCCAACTACTTGGGAGGCTGAAGCGAAAGGATCATTTGAGCCCAGGAGGTTGAGGCTGCAGTGAGTCGTGACCAGCCTGGGCAACCTAATGAGACCCAAGACCCCAGCTCAAAAAGTATTTTACATTTTCGCCTTCCTCCCAGTCTTACAGATGAGAACTGAGGCACAAAATAAGGTAGGATTGCCAGCCAGTTGGCATCAGTGTGAATACCGAGCAGCGGAGGCGGAGGAAAGTTCTCGAAAGGGGTCTGGTGGTCTTGGAGGCTTGGGTTCCTCCATGGTTGGGGGTCAGCTGGCTGTGTTTTGGGTGTTTGGTAGGAGGGACGGTGGGGAGGTGAGGAGTAGCCTCTGGGCCCTGGTGAGTATCCAGGGAAGGTTCGGGTCTGGAAGGACGAGGGCGCGCTTCCTGGAAGCGGGATGTGAAGAACGAACTCTGCTTGAGAAAAGGTTGATGGGCCGGTCCTCTTAGGTCAGGAAGTGTGCAGCCCCGGGGAGGGTAAGAGAGCCGGTGGGCAAGAAGGAAGGCCTGGGGAACCAGCAGGGGCGCCAAGGAGGAGCTCTCGGCTTGGCAAAGATGTCGGGTGACGCGGTGCGTGTGTACCTCATTCTTGGGAATAACTACGGCTTAACACTGCCAGTTCTCAGTCTAGAGAACGGGAGATGGGGAGAATCAGCAACTCAGAGACGGCAAGCCTCTTACCTAAGGTCCCACAGCATTGTAAGCCTCAGGGAAGCCTCCTAGGCCCTTTCTGCCACACTTACCCAGCCACACTTGCCCAGCCCCACCCACACCTCTGTTGCCACCCAGAGCCCCCGCGGGGTGCCTTGGAGAGTGGGTCTGGGGCACCGTGCCAGGCCTGATTGCTGTCTTCCTCCCCGTTTTTCCAGTGAAGGGCTGTGATGAGACCTATTTATAGGGCCCGGTCCCTTCATATTCTGCCTGGCGTGCCTCTTGCCAATCGAATCAGCGCCGTCTGCAATGATTGCTGTTTAGTGGCACCAGGGAGAGGAGTTAATTAAACCCAATATAAATAGACTCTGCCCTCGCCTTGCGGTTCGAGGAGTGCTTTTCCCTCCCATCCCTTGCGCCCCCCGTGCACCTCCTTCCCCTCGGCCGCCCGAGCAGGGCCTGGGTGCCCGTCACCAGCCACTGCCCGGTCTGTCTCCGTGGCAAGTGCCCCAGTGCACATTGGCGGCACTTTCCAGCTCAGCGCCATTTGGCAGTTGATTCAGCCGGTTCCCGCCTCCCCATCCCCCCAGCGCCACTTCCAGCCTGTTCCTCGCGGCCAGGGTTTCTTTCTTGTGTGGCCACACGTAGGGCGTCGAATGGAAATAACGGACCCGGGTGCCCCCCAGGCGCCCCAGAGGGGGTCCGAACGCCCCCGTCGGCCTTCCCAACCCTCCAGCCCCTGGTCCACCCGCCCACCCACCCGCAGGCCAAAGCAGAATCCTGTCTCCCCGGGCTCCTGCCCTCCCACCCAGTGGTCCCAGCCCCACGGGCTGCAGCTGTGCTGTCGCGCGACTCGGCCTCACCCGAGGGTGGGTGGATGTGGGGGAGCGTGGGGGTCCTGACGCTCGGTTTCCACCCGCAGGCACCATGACTCCCGTGAGGACCCAGCACGCCTTGGCAGGCCAGGCCTACGCCGTGCCCCTCATCCAGCCAGACCTGCGGCGGGAGGAGGCCATCCAGCAGGTGGCAGACGCCCTGCAGTACCTGCAGAGGGTCTCCGGAGACATCTTTAGCAGGTGGGTGCCGCCCCTCGCGCCGCCCAGCCGGAGGGCTGTGCCCGGCCCTGGCACCCTCTGGGAACAGCCCCTTCGGTGATGCTGGGTCCCGGGGGAACCCAGCTTGGAAGCTTTTTCTCCCAAGTGCCAGAAGCTTACTCCCCGCTGTTCCGCTAGGCTTCCCGGTTTCCTGTGCGTCCCACGGGCCCCACTGGTGGCTCTGCTCCCAGCTCGTGCCTCCCTCCCCCCACGGGTCTGCTCCGACACTTTTGCCTGTGGCCAACCAATGTTTACACGGGTTTTGTGCAGGCACCGTGCTAGTCTCCAGAGACAGCAGTGAGGAAGGCAGTGACCCACCCAGCTAGAGCCTGTGCCCAGGCAGTCGGGCTTCAGGAACCAGGCGTGTGATTCAGTGTCTCATCACAGTGGCGATGAGACCCACTTACAGTGTTTTGGAAATAGCTGAT